AAAGAATACTAATTAAACTTGCGTGTTTATTTTAAATTAAATGCGTTGTACAATCAGCCGGTTGTCGTTGCAATTTGACATTGACAGGTCAGCTATTTTTTTTTTCTTCTTCCTGGCCAAGAGTTTCTTTCTTATCCATAGGTTAATTTAAATGATTGGAGAATTAAAGGTAATAAATTAGCGATGCTGTCAAAAGCCTTTAAGCAAACACCTGTGATGTACATTTGTTTAATTATTGTATTGATAAAGCTGAGTTGTCCTGCTATTTAACATATTTTCACTTTGGCAACTTTATGGCCGTGTGGCAGAGGCAGCTGATGCATTCAGCCTAAGTAGGTACTTTTTTTATTTGTTATGAAGATAATGAATGAGAAAAGCCAGGTGATTTGACTTGACGACTGGCGTGAGTACTCATTGCCAAACACCGGTCATACATTTAGGCTCAGGAATCAAAATTCTGAAATTTTGAATTAATGATGAATCGATTTTGCCACTCGCCAGCGCCACTTAGACAATTTCTAGTAAAGATGCAATTGTTTAGTATTGCAATGCAATTGTTTAGTAAAGGTACTAATTTAATACAAATTGCAGAAAGCATAATTTTTATTGCTAAATAAGAATAAATTGTACTTTATTTTTGTACTGTGTACTTTTTTTTCTTACCAATAATCGTCAATGTACTTTAAATACCAAAAAAAAGGTGGCGACCCTAATCGTGACCTAAGACTTACTTATTCTTGACAAAAACGTCATCACTTGAACACCGACACGTACTTACAATAAAATCCTGGGATTGAATCTGACGCTCCAAACATAATAGTCAAACTTACTAGGTACTTACCACAAAACTATCGCTATCGACGTAAATTTTCGTCTATTAAAAAAAGATACCTACTTAATTAAGACACGACATTACGTAATCCATAACGAACTTTTTGAAAATCGAAAAATCTAATGATTCTTCTTCCAGCCATCTCAACTGTTGTAGGAACAAATAGACTCACACATTTTCTTATCACTACTTCTAACACCAAAATATTAAACAAACAGTAGTTGCAACTTTAAATTTAATACTAACAAGGCGTCACGTGATTGGCCAGTCGGTGAGACTTGCGACAGATTATAATCGTCGGTAATGTGACCCGCCGACGTTCTAATGAAATCATTGTCGACTCGTTCCCTTAGGCTTCCTGCACGCTAAGCGACTTGTCGACTAATCGTAACAACTTTATGATGGGGAATTACGGTGTATTTTATTTTGTCAGGGCTGTGTAGGATTTTGCTGTTTTTAGCTTTTATTATTTTGTTTTTTGCAATGATGGTAGTCGATGGCGGTCTATGTTCTATGTCTACCCGCTCCGGAGCTGTTAGTTCATCTGTGTATTTTATTAACATAAATGTTCAAGTAGCCTGAAATCTCATTTTTATGGGATATATATTTTTCGGATAGATTTTGTAACATTGTGTATTTGATGTAACATGAGGTATTTAGTTGATTAGAAGTCTGAACATGATATACACTGAGAAATCAAGCTATCTAGATTTGAGTCCATACAAAACATTATTATTTCACCAATGTCATCGGGATCGTGGTAAAATATTCAGAAAGTTGGCTACATTCCTAGTTGCCACGTTAGATGGTAACATTTAACATGGCCTGGCCAAATAATTCCTCTATAAACTAGGTACCTACGTTTAAAAAAACCGACTTGATCCCCTCTCTTTTTGAAGTCGGTTAAACTGTCAAACACCAAGCGGTCACCGGTGACCGCGACCTATTGTTCTTTAATTGTGTCTATAAAACCGGTACTCGACGAGTTAATTAATATACAAAAATGTTCTCCGCAATGTGAAATTTAAAAAACACTTCTGAAAACCGCATCAAAATCAGTTCAGTCAATCGTGAGATTATCGCACACAAACATACAAAATACATACACACATAAAAGTCAACTAAGAACCTTTTATTTTAAGAAACCAACTTAGTTGTCGACCTGAAGCGCTTCTAACCAATAATCTTATGAATGTTTATAATTTATCATGTTTTCGCCTTTCTCACGTAATTGTTTGACGAGGAACTCGACTAGTTTCAAACCATGCTAGAGGCTCATGAATATGAGCAAACTCGTCAAACAGCTACGTGAGTAAGCCGAAAAAATAATAAATAATTTGTATATATGACGAAAGTTTCAATATAAACTATGAATGCTGGAAAGTAACGTTACAAGAAAAACATTATTTATCATTCAAAGTGTGGAGATACTAAAATAGATAAAAATATTCTAAACCTAATTATCACTAATGTCATCTACTGATTAGTATCTGAATCTTAATACCTAGCTGTCAACTAGTTTGACCAGCAAATTCTATGTAACCCAATATTTATTGATTTGCTAACTATTAGCGACTAACATATCAGTTTATATGTTTTATAAAAAATAACCGGCCAAGTATCTCGGTGTCACATACAAATGGTTCCGTCCGTATTTTTTTTTTGGACAAGCCCACCACAGGCTCCCAAAACAGCTGCAACTCTTGTAAGCCAGGATCTACAGTAGATACAACCATGAAAACACCGGAACACTGAAGTCCAGCGCGTCCCAGGGACATGAATAACTGTCTTGGTTCCCGCAACGAAGTGAATCAGAAGATATTATAAGAGTAGAAGAAAAAAATGTCAGTTTCCACTTCCCTCTGTGAATTACTGCAGGAGACAAACTTAATTAAGCCTGAAGGCACAAAAAAGACCCAGCGCCCCCTTCACCCAGTTGGGTGAAGCCCAGTCGCCAAGCACCACGTAAATATGACTAAAAACTAAGTGGGTCCTATGTGTGAGCTGTTACACTTGCTTCCGTCCGTATATACACAATTTATAACATTACATAATTTTATCCTTGCTATTAGATAATGGAGTAAGTACCTATCTTAAAAATCAAAATATCTAATTACCCGACTCGGTAACTGAGCCGGAGATTCTTTGACCAGTAGAGTACCCCTTGCACCAAATTAGGTGGTTAATCTTAGTCTGACAGCATTAATTTAATATTTTTTTAATTCTAACTGATCATTGAATCATTTCCTTGGCAACAGCATAGATATACTACTATATTCGGTTCCATCGTCATCGCTGTCTTACGAATTAATTTTATGTTTTTATAATAACTATCGTAAGACATACTGAATTAAATAAAAATCGAGGGTTACTCACGTGAAAACACTGATAAAAGCTCTACTGGTTTCGAATCACAGAGGGGTTCTTCCTCATGAGCAACGTGCGCCGTCGCAGCGACAGTAGGCTGAGCGACATCGCCGCGACCGTTTGTACTTTGCAGGTGTGTGACCAGCCTAAAAGGGATCCATTGTCCCACCTACGTGTTTGAGTTGAAACTTACAACGTTTGACTTTAGCACCAGATTCGTTTCAGTTCCACTACTTTATTTTAATCTCGGATGTCAAATCCTTTACATCGGATTCATATTTATGGATTTAAAAAAGAGTAGCACACCCCAGCATACCTACATACTTTTAAGAGTCAAAAATCTCCAATAACACTAACCCAGAATCGAACCGACTACAACAAGACTTTAGGACCTCAACCTTAACGCTACGAGTTACAACACTGAACTGAATAATAGGTATCAACTCAAACCCCTAAGCGGGCTGTTATTTTGTATCGTACAAAATCATTCAATCTCACAATCCCACGCTACCTTTGATCATTCAAGAAATACCTAAGAGAAATTGTAATTCACAAATTCGACGTACCTATACCTACCTATTACCAACACATATACACCTAGTTCTTATAAAACCTATCAATGATAGTAGTAAATAGACATCTCTACAAACAAAATACCTACCGGCCGCCATTTCTCAGTTCTACCTACACGAAAGGATAAGTAGGTATTGAAAACAGTAGGCATCAAGCGACCCACGCACATTTACATACGAGTATACGGCCACAAGACTCCGCAACACGCAACACATACAAATTCTCCAAACTAAAACTATACTAAAACTAAACGCACTTCATCACTCCATTCATAGTTACCCATTCACAACGAAGCCCGCCAAAACTATCAGTGTTGCCAAAATAACAAGCCGAATCACACAAAACAAACTATCAACATTAACAATCATTATAATTTTATTTAGCCTCTGGCGAAACTGAGGCGTAAGGATTCGAGATGAGAAAAAATGAACCCCTTCCGCAAAGAATTTAGGAGCGCCCGCGACCGGGACGGAATACAACTTGCTCGTTATAAATTTTGTGTAAGATAACAATGCGTACGTGTGGGTGTGTGGTACAGTCGCTGACGAGTATAGTTACGGCACGCAATAACGCTAACAAGCGTGCGAGCGAGAACCACACTCCGCTGTATAGCGGTGTCCCGCTCCCCCCGCCGGCAACATGGCGCGCTGACTCGGGCGCAGGCTCGAATCGTATCGCCTGCCCACTCAAGGTTCGCTGACTGCCGTTCTTTTGTTTTTAATGTTGCCATGTGAGAACTTCTCCCCGGATTAGTGCAGTTCTTTGAATTTTATTTAAATGATTTTCGTGCGTCAGTGTTGCCTTACATTTATTTTTAACGGTAAACGTAAAATTGAACAGTGTCATGTTTTTTGTCGTGGTAATTCTTACAATACAACATTCATGTTTTACACACAAGTAAGGTAAATTGCACCTAATCAAAGTGGAATATGAATATATAATTTTTATTACAGGAACTTAATAAAATAATATTAATCAATGTTGTTCAGATAGATTTAATAACTTAATACCTAAGTACCTACTTTTTATTTATCACAAAACTATTGGAAGAACTGAATAACATCTGGACACTAATTTACTAAAACACGTGGTATTTTTTAAGCGACAATATTTTTTGATTTTATAAAGATTTTTCAAGTTTTCTTATGTCAGTACCATATCTATCCACCTTTTTATTTCAAAAAACGTTAGGCCGTTAAATGAAATATGTGGAGAGTGTTATAAGTAGTTCGGGAACCCTGGACCGCAGACGAAAACAGCGTCAAGCCGAGGACCTGCTCAAACCGAACGTCTGCATACCGATCGTTGGTTTTTTATAAGCGCGCGTCGGTGCACGCCGCCGTGTGCCTGTGTGAGTGGGAGTGCGTCTGTGTGCGGGGCGGCTCGTTCTCGCGCGCGCCTCGCTCCATTGTTGTGTGCAGTAGACTCGCGACTCTCGGCCGGCCGCGGTCCGTATCACGCGCTCGCGGACAACGACTAAAACTGCCGGCGATAAACAAAATAATGACCAGTGTACCACATTACGTGCATCGCGAGTGCAACAAGCGACAACAGTGTGTGATAACGAGTATGTAACGTGCGTGTTGTGTCAAACGGTGTGCGTTTTTCGACGTGTTTTGGAGTTTGAAGGCGCGTGGACAGCGCAATGCACGTCGTGTTTAGGTATGTGCCGACCGATTAATTATGGCCCATCAGTGAGGGGTCGGTGGCCTGCAATTTCGCCACTGAGATCGTTTAGTGTATTTTTATAATGGGTGACAGATTTCGCGACGGTACGGTTCGGCCGCGGCGTGTGGCGAGCTATTTACTCGCCGCTGTTTTCGTTTACATATACAGAACAGGCTGGCGTCAACGTTTTCTAGTCACATCCGTCGTTTCTTGTGGTGTTTTATGTGCATTTGGCGCCGGCGGTGTGTTATCAGTGCTCGGGAAGTGTGTCGAGTAATTTATAACGTAATTAATGCGTTATCGGTGACGGTGAACCGATGGAGCCGCGTGAAATGTGAACTTTGCATCCACTTGTGACCGTCTCGACGGGACGCAAGCCATTCTGCTTACACACTTTTCAAATCTCACGTTTGGCGCTCGTAAACGTAACTTACTGCAAGGCGCTAGCCATTGGTTGAATGCAAATGCCTGTGTCATAAAAAAGGCAATAAAAACATGCTTGATAAAGTACGATGCTCATCTAATCACCTCCAGTTGTTAAAGATAAAATGTTACTACACAAATATAATCACAAAACGCGCTGGTTTTATACTGATTTAAACGTATCGTCGTTGTCACTTGTCAAACTACAATAACATGGAGCGTAAACTATTTGAAAAATTAATTGTTTCTCACACTTCAAGAAAGTTAATGCCAACCTAACAAACTTTAATAAGGTAACAGTACCAGTAGTCATCCATAACATCAATTAAAATCCGTTCAATTTGTTTTTATTTATAACAAGCTTAATTTTCAATGAAAACTTAAATTTTTCAAGATTTAAAGGTATCGTACTATCATAAACAATAATTTGTAAGCTTATATTTCTTTATTTTTTGTAGAAAAGTTCGATTTTCATCTTCCCTTAATCACAGAAAATTTTATACCTACCGAGTAGTTAATTCTATCATAGTTTGGTCTAAGTAGGTAGATGGGAACCTAATTTGCTATATTACAGCACATTATTAAGTAAATAAACTACAAATTAAAACGCGTTCATAAACGTTTTTTGTGGCATGACTAAATAAATGCTTTTAAGTTTTTAACTGTAATGCAGTCCCCCTTTTGTACATATATGGCAACGGTGTACACGAAGTAAGTAACTACTCACGTACTATGTATAAACTAACTTCTATGGAAACTATTAATTAACTTCACAATGTCCGGCGGAATTATTGAAATGTTCATAGCTGTACTAAAATGACAACTCATGAGGAACAAAGTTGATAATTGTAATGCCATTTATTTTTTTATGATCTCTAGAACCCCAATAAATAACGAAATAGCTCTACAAATGTGCACAAACGCACCTGCTTAATGAAAAACTTGGGATGTCCTTAGTAAAGATATAGTTTATTGTAACGAAATTATACACATTACGACGTTATTAAAGTTTTTCAACTTATTAAACTTAATCGATTTTATTGAGCGGCCGTTACTTTACATTAGATCTACGTTAAACTCTTACATTAAAATTAGGTACATAAATACTTACATTAAAATTAGGTACATAAATATTAGGTACATAACAAAGAAACCCGTTTTAAGGGTTCAAAAATATTTTAAACAAATCCTTGTCTCATTCAGGCAAAATCTTCGATGCTCCAACGCCAACGGACCAACCATTTCTCAGCGCGCTGACCGTCCGCGTCGCGAGCAAAAAAAGAATATTATTTATAACCCCTTTATTCTTTTTAAAGAAAAAATATATTTCATTTTTTTTCTCTTTTATGGCGCGCAGTTAAACGCGACAACTCTGGGTTACGAGCGGCCAGTCCGAAAACCGAATTTGTTACTTCTTTTTTCAAGGTTTAAAAGCTTTTTTATGCATTTTCATCGTTGCTGCTTTGTAAGTACAGAGTTTCGATACGGGAACTGAAAATAAGCCTGTATTAACACTTTATTTAACCTAAATATTGGTATAATTCTGGACCATAAAAATTAACCGGCCTGTCGCGCCGGTATTCTTAAACTTCTGCGCGGGAAACAGATCTGAGCACTTATTCTCAGAAGCGAACAATCGTCTTATTTTGTTCGTTATCTCAAATGAATTATTCATATAATCACATTTCCTACGTTGTCCGAGTATTATTAGATCTAATTATTTTTATTTGTTGTTATATTCGAAATATTCATTATGTCGCTATAAAATCTTCAATTTAGCGTTTAATAGTTTAGTTAACGACTTCTAAATAATTAAATTGATAGTATTAGTAGTAATTAAATGATAACGTTGACCATTTTGAGATTTTATATCAGTTGGTATATATTTTTAATTTGTAACGAGTTTGTATTTCGGATTTTCCTCAATTGAATTAAAAAAATAACCTCAATATTTTTACAATAAAATCCAGTCGCATTTACAGAGACAGCTATTAAACGCGTGCGGCTTGCTATGAGAACCTGCGCGAGAGTTGAGAATGTTAATGCGCTCGTGTTGTTCGTTGGGCACACGCGGAATACTGAATGCGTTTACAAATATACTGTGCAACTAATATAACCCACCATGAAATAAAGTTTTCAGTAAGACTTCTTTACTTCTATAAAAAGTTTGGGTAAAACGTCGCTTCTGCAGTTTTGAGAGACATTGTATGTAGACTAATGCATAAGAAATTAAAATTTGTTTCTTTTGTTTTCCTAGACATAAATAAAACGTCAAGCATAAAGTTTCAATTTAATCCAATATTGAATTAAACATTTATTTTTTATAATTTACAAAGAAATCTGAAAATATTCTGCGTAGGTACTTTTACCCTAAAAAACCTTAGGCTCGATAGTGCCAACCACACAAACTACAAAGCCTTTACGGCCTATAGAGCGAGTCTTCTTCATTTTCAATCTTCGGAATTCAAATCGTTGCGTTCGGATAGTTTGTCATTGGAATTCAAATTGATTTCGACATGTCATCGAGTGAGATTTCATGGTAGACTGTTAATCTTCGTTTATGATTACAATACGGACCACGTATTCGTTCTTTGTCACTCTACGCGTAGGTTATATGTCATGTAATGTCGGTCTAAGTATACAGTAAAATGCTAGCCTGGATATAATCTCTATTCATGCTAAAAATCTTGGTTGCTGCTTTCTTCTCTTTGATTTAATCACAATTTCACGGGGTGGTTCGTAGAGATAAGAGTTTATGACAATTCTCTCGTTAATTACTGCAATTAAAGAGGAAAATAGTAATAAAAATAAAGCATACGTGCGATATCAACCGTGAAGATATAAATTTTGTCTCCCGACGACCGTAATGAGCGTTTCCTAGAAACGACTGATTCTGCAAAAGTGACGCAAAAAAACGAAAAAAAAAGAATCATTCCAAAAACAAACGCTTGCTCTTATAACCGAGTGATAAAGTTCAAAATTGTACAATTTTCATTTTTTGAAATAATTTGTTAAAGTTGTAATGATAGTACGCGCCAATTTTTTTTGTCAAGGGTGAATCCGTGTCCTGTTTCACTTGTTTTATTATTAACATTTTTTAAACTGGCAAGTGTTACTGCAATTATTGAATCACGAATTGGAAGAAGGAACGAACGCCACTTTTGACGTAATATTCTGTTTAATCTATAAATTGTGCGTTCGTAAAAAATCCGTTTCGTTTTTTGGATTAATTGATAATCCCTTTCTTCCAATTGGTGGTTCAATTTGCGAATTATACTTAAAAATTATAAATCTGATGATTATTGAATTAATCCATCGATAATCCAAATTACTGTGCATTATTGCGCGGAAAGTTGCGTGCAAATCCGGATTTAGGGATTTAATCTTAAAAATTGGAGATATGCGTACATGTTTATAATCAGATTTTGTTTTTTATCGTAATCTTGGTGCCTACCAGAGTGCCTTACTTACTTAAAATGTAAATTGGGCGGTCCAACAACGATAATTCCAGCCGATAATAGAGTTCGCGAAAAAAATGGCGGCGAATCGAAACTGGTTGTCAATGAATGCTGTTTGCAGTAGGTACCTATATTTATTTTTAAATAATGGTTAGGTACTATACCTACTGCAATTTAACATCTAATTCGATGATCAAGGGTTAAAAGTTTTGGTGCCTGCGCCGTTGTTTAATCGATGAAATACGTTTAGAATGCAATTAATCGATTCGTAAAAAAAATATAAGTATTTCTTTTTATTTTTCTCCTTTCCAAGTATAATTGTAAGTAGAGCTAGTTGCCTACACTACAATAATTAATAATTTAAAGGAATACAATACTACCTAAGTTATAATCATACTATACATCATAGCAATCCAGTAAAAACTCAATACAAACTAATTTAGTAAAGAACTCGGAGAAACTAGATCAAATAATTACTATATTTCTATAACGAAAACTAACATTATTCCTTTATCAAGCCAATAATCGGCTTTGTTTATTCATCTCTTTCATTCACAAACTATCATGTGACCTCTCGCTCTTTCATATTTTTTTTTCGTAACCAATTAGCTACTAACTGCCACTTGTAATGTCAACGCGTTGTTATTATTATTTTAAGCTGTAGGTAATTGTTTGTCTAGGTCTCTTTAATGAAATTATTTTCATATAATTCCTTTTTTATAAGAATGTGCTTCGTGTAAAACCATTGTTAAAGTATTGTTTCACATTCTCATTCCTATTTACTTAACACGTCTACCACAACGAATCTATACAAAACCATAGAATTAATAATTCCACAAACCACACGCCAACTTTTTTTTTTAATTTTCAACCAGTGTTGCCAAAGTTTTGTCCGGCCAAAGCAAAAAGTTCCTTTGACTTACCAATTACTTAGGCGCAGTCAACCCTCCGAATTCCGACGCATTATATTCTCGTATAAGCACAATAATAATCGTTTTTCCCAACAAGCTCACGCACATCTCCTTTGTAACCGGTTCCATAAGCAACAAAACGGACATTTAAAACTAAACCCTAACTTTATCCTCAGAGGGACCATTATCCAAGATCCTTCTC